GTGTTTGTTTACCATATAAATCTTCTATGGCTGTTCAGGTCCTTTGTCCATTTTTTAATTAGTTGATTTATCTTTTTAATGTCATATCATAATGTTCTTTATGAATTCTGGATACTAGACCCTTATGGTAATACGATTTGAAAATATTTTCTCCCATACTGTGGGCTTTCTTTTTCTTTTTTTTTTTAACTTAAAAATGCAAATTTTATTAAAAGTTTAATAACAAATGTGTTTATGTATATGTATGCCTTTACAAAGACAGAATTGAATCTTAGCCTATGTTATTCATTAATGGACATGCTAAGTTAGTGAAAGTAATAATAATGTATCGGTAATTAACTTTGAAATTATACAGTACTTGAAAATAAATTAACAGCCCTTTTTAAGTTTCAAAAAAGAACATTTTCCATTTTGACCTTTCTGCATTTGATTTTTTTGTGACTGTCAAATAGAATGCTTCACTTATCTGACATTGACAGTGACCCTGGTGTTCTATATACATGAATTTTCAAGGTGACTCAAGCACTAATACTTTCATGGCATTTCATTGCCATTTTTCGTCCCTCATTAAACAGATTACTGAAAGTGATTTTTAACCCTTTTTAGAGTCATGATCATGATAGAATGTATTTTCAGCCTAGACCCCTTCTAGACCCAATCTTTACACTTTAGCTTTTTAAATTACTATTACTGTTCTAATTAATTTAACGGCTCTTTCTGATTGGGAATGTAGTTAATGAGTCCTACTAATCATTTCCCCCATGATACTATCTTCATTCATTCACTCACTCATTCATGTATACAAATATTTATTAGGTACTTCATGCCAGGCACTGTTGTAGGCACCAAGTATGCACCAGTCACAAAGCAAGCAAGTTACCTCACTGGTTACCTAATGATTTTGCAACTTTCAAATTGCAGAATACACCAGAGAGAAACAGTTACAAAGCATCAAGCTAGTTGATCTTTACTTTAAGAGGTTTTTTGTTACATATACTTTTTCGGAAATGTTGTGGTCACAAATACATATAATTTACCATTTTAACCATTTGTAAATGTAGTTCTTTGGTATTAAGTACATGTACACTGTTGTTGTAACGGCTACCACCAATCCATCCCCAGAACTTTTTCATTACTAAAACTGTACCTAATGACACTAACTCCCCTGTCCTGCCTCTATATGTTCTTTTAATTTCCCCTAATTAGTGATAGGAGCCATGCTCTGTAATTTAAAACTGGTGCCTCAATTGCTGATGTGTCCATGCTCTCACATTTGAGGGGGGAGTAGGATAGTCATTTTGACATAATTTTGTGCCATAAATAATTCAGAACATGTAAGCTTGTTTTCCTTTAGTAAAATTTTAATATCTTTTGTTTAAAAAAACTGACCTCCCTCTCTCATGTACTCTTGGTGGGAGTATAAATTTGCAAAGTTTTTCATTCCATTTATTTATGTATGTATTTGATTTTTGGAAAATACTTAAACCTTTTTCTCTTTCTTTCCTTTCTTTCTTTTCTTTTCTTTCTTTCTTTCTTTTCTTTCATTTCTGTTGTCCTGGCCTAGAGTGTAGTGGTGTCCTCATAGTTCACTGCAGCCTTCAACTCTTAGGCTCAAACCATCCTCCTGCCTCAGCCTGCCTCAGCCTCCCCAATAGCTGGGACCACAGGAGCATGCTACCATGCCGAGCTAATTTTTCTAATTTTTGTAGAGAAGACAAGGTCTCACTCTTGCTTAGGCTAGTCTTGAACTCCTGGCCTCAAGCAATCCTCCCACTTCTGCCTGCCAAAGTGCTAGGATTATAGGCATGAGCCACTGTGCCCAGCCTGCCTGTCTTTCTTGATAGTGTCCTTTGAAGGTCAAAAGTTTTTAATTTTATCTAGTTTTATTTAGCTGCTTGTGCTTTTGATGTCATATCTAAGAAACCACTGCAGGTTACAATTTACTTTTATATTTTCTTCTAAAAGTTTTATAGTTTTAGCTCTTAAGTTTAGATCTGCTTTGAGTTAACTTTTGTATGTAGTGTGAGGTAGGGTTTTAATTTCATTCTTTTGCATGAGGATATCCAGTTGTCTCAACATCATATGTGAAAAAGACTATTCTTCGCATCCACTGAATTGTCTTGGCACTTTTGCTGAAAATCAGTTGACTGTAAATTTGAGGGTTTATTTCTAGGCTCTCAATTCTATTCCATTGACTCTCAATTCTATTTGACTGATTATAACAACTTCTTACACATGGGTATGAGAAGTCTCTGAGGGAGATGGCTTTTTTTTTTTTTTTCCTCTATTCATCTTGCCCAGACTGTGCAGGGAGCATAGTAGTAATAGCAGTTTTCTGGAAGGCTGTTTAATTGCATAAAGCTTTCAAGAGAGACACATTTTAAAGCTGCTTAATTCCCTGCTTAATTTGATGTTGTTTTCTTTGCCTTTATGGTGTTGTAAACCTCAAAGCATGTGATCATGGCTTGCTTTTTTGTCTTCAGTCTTCTTGGCTCTCCTTGTAGCTATCCATTTTGCATTCTTATTTTCCTCTTAAGGAGCTCTTTTGGAATTTGAGAGCAAGGTCAGTGATTTGCACATTTGCATGGCATAATGTGGAGTTTCATCACTGCATGGACTTTGCAACCAAAGCTCCCGTTCTGGTCAAATACATCCATAGTTGACCAGCTTTCTGGCATGTGACCCCAAGATAATGGGGCCAGCTGGCAGTCATCTTGGGGTTTGGATGCCATATTGGACCACACACTACCTTTTTATCCTAGGCTATTAATCTTAAAAGTTCAGCTTCTAATCTTAGAAGTTGGAAATTCTTTTGTTGGAGCAGGAAAGTGGAAAATCAATTCTCATTGATGCTGTGCAAAGATTGAGAGGAGTAACTAGAGCATAGGTAATTTAGTTTGTTTGTCTGCTTTTCCCAGTTGGTCGGCGAGGTAGTAGTGAACCCATATTCAGACCTGTACCTCTTAAACTCCTAAAACTTAAATGTCATTCAAATGCCTATGGTGTATAGTTACAATCTATACACTTGCTCTCAAAATACCACTTTCCTATTTGTATAACATAATTATTATGCTCTAGTTCTTTTAAGACACATTTCATTTGTATAATAAGCACAAAATTTCTTCATAATTGTAAAATAGAATGATTATACTGCACTTGCTGTGATAGCTATTAATTTAACAAATATTTACATACCATCAGTGATCTTGGAAGTATACTGTGTGCTATCTCCATGAGCATATTGGCCACCCTTGATAGACAGTTCTTTGGCCAACCATTTATATGTGAAATCACCTATTGTTGTGATTGCCTTCAGTCTTCTACCATGTTTTCCTCCCTATGGGTTAGTAAATAATTGGACTTAGCCAAACATGCTAACACTCAGAAACTTCTGTTCATCCATTAATTCAATAAATGTTCATTGAAAGCCTCCTGTACACCATCCATTGTGATTGCTGCTGGCAATATAAAGCTGAGGACAAACAGCCTCAGTCTCTGTCCCAGGACTACTAGGCATTATAGAATAGTGTTGTATATAACTCTATAATTACTTCAACAAATCTGTCTTGCATGATACATGGCACTATGAGAACATATAATAGTCATCTGTTCATTAAAACACACAAACAAAACTTAAGTGCCTACCATGTACTAATGACTTGTGAAGGTGAGGGACAGATTCTGTGAGGAAGTGACAGTTAAGGTGAAGGTGAGGTCTTCGAGAAGAGTCAGCTAGGCTCAGGGGGAGTGGGAAAGCCTTCCAGACCAAGAGTGCCTGGAGGGACCAAAGGAAGGCTAGAGTGGCGAGGAGCCACCGAGGGTACACAGGGGACTGGAGAGTTAGGCGAGGCAGGCACTTCAAGATCCTGTGGGCTGAGTTGAAGGCTTTGCTTTTTATCTTAAGAACATCATTGAAAAAATTTTTGACCAAAAGCCACCTTTTACATAGCCTATAAACTAGGTTTTAATTAGAGGCAGGGTAGCTCTTATTCAGATGTATTGATTTCTAGGTAGAGAATGTTAAATTTTACAAGTTTTGTTTTCTTCAGAGTAGTGCTTCTCCACTTTAAGAAATTCCTTGGAAGACTCGTTAAAACAGATTTTTGGGTCCCACCTCCAGAGATTCTGTAAATCTGGACTGGGTTTAAGAATTTGAATTTCTACCAAGATCCCAGAAGGTGCTGATGCTGCCGGTCCTGTCTGTGAACCAGATTCTGAGTAGCAATTAGTGAGAGTCACAAAATTAACTCACCTTTTTTTGGTCATTGTTTGCGTTGGGTATAAACGGCAAAGAATCATTTTTAGTTATATAGTAACCAAGAAATATTTTTTCTTTGTGTTTTGGGAGCTACATTTTACACAAGCCACTTTAAGGCTGTAAATATTACTTACCTGTGCATGTTCTATATGTATTATATGTGACTTCATGAAGTGATGTGGTAGTAAATATTAATAGTATTGAGGAGACATAGCTATAGAAATAAAGAAACTTAAAATCAGACATTGTGAGCTACAAAAATCTGTAAAATTTTTAGTACCACCTTGAGATGCTGTTGAGATTTGGAAAATTAGAACAATACAGTTTGGGATCAGTCATGGTGGCTCATGCCTGTAATCCTAGCACTTTGGGAGGATAAGGCTTGAGGATCGCTTGAGGCCAGGAGTTTGATACCAGCCTGGACAACATAAGCAAGAACCTGTCTCTACAAAAAAATAAATAATAATAATAAGCCACAGCTGTAGTCCCAGCTACTCAGGAGACTGAGGCAGAAGGATCACTTGGGCCCAGGAGTTCAAGGCTATAGTGAGCTATGATCATGCCACTGAACTCTGACCTGTCAGAGCAAGACCCTGTCTCTAAAAATAATAATAATAATAATGAATATAAATTTTTTGAAAAGAACAGTATGATATGAGATTCTGAAACACTTGGTGTTTCAGCAAGAGTAAATCTGTGTATTAATTGAATCAGTTTTTTTTTATTATTTTTGTTTTTCTAGATCTGATTACTTGTTTGGACACTGCATCCAATTTTTTGGAGCCTGAGTTCAGGTATGAACCCATTTGTGACCTTTTCCTTGCTTAAATCTTATTCTTCCACTTCTACATTCTCACTCTGTAAACACTTAAAACTAATGCATATATGGTATGACATATAATCCCTGTTCCAAGATTCCAATAAATTAGAGCTTACGTAAAGCCATTTAGTTGCTACATTTAAATTTTGCTTTCATTGTAGCATTCAGATCTTCTCCAAAATGAAAGTGTAATTTTAATATGTTTTAAAAGTAGAACTGGGTTGCTCTTCAAAATCTGGTAAAACTGCTAATAAAAGTAGAAAAGCTTTTCTCAAAAAAAGGGAACAGGACAGTTTTGGCTTTTATAGAATGCTTCACTGTTCTTACCAAAGTAGCATTTCTGCTACTGTTTCTCCACTTTGTTCCTTCGTCTCTTGCCTGGATTAAGATTAACTTCTAACTGATTTCCCATTTCTAACATTTGCTGCTTTATTCTGCCATTCACACTGCTATTCTTTTCTAAAATATATATCTAATCATTTCCCTACTTAAAGATCTTGAGAAACTCCTTATTATGATTAAAAAGTTGTCCAGATTCCTTAACCTGGTCTCCAGAGTCCTTTAAAAGTAGTCCGTGGCCCATTTTTCCATTCTCTTCTGATTTTCTCCATGCTGAAATGGCTCTAGATTATTTACACTGCCCTGAGCTCTCAGAGCTTTTACCTAGAATCGCTCTGTTCCACTCTGCTTGGCAAAATCATTCTCATCTTTTAAGACCCATCTCACTAACCTCCTCCCAACTCACTACTGCTGCCTTCCTAAGAACTTTAAATTTGTTTTCAAAGATGCTTCTCTCCATGTAGGAAGGGTGCCCTCTTCAGCATTTGAGGGAAACCTCATCAGCTGGGGTAACCTTGGCCCCGGGGTATGGTAGGCAGCCCTGCCACAGCGCCAGCTGCCCTCACTCCTCTCTCCAGCTCCACCATCACCACCCAAATCCAGGCTCCTGTCACCCCAATCTGGGGCTGCCACACTCTCTGCCTGACGTGTCCCAGCTTCCACTCATGATTCTTTACGATCTCTTTGCTTCCTTAGAGCCAGAATAATCTTTTTAAAAAATATGAATCGGATTATGTTTGTAAGCCCTGAGAATCCTTTACTGTCCTCCTATTTTTACTTAGAAATATATTCCAGACTCCTCGCCATAGTCCACTAGGCCTCGGCATGATCCGGCCCCTGCCTTTCTCTCCCGCTGAGCTTACCTTAGCTCGCTGCAGTCTACTTGCACTACCATCCTCACCTACACCCACAGCCCAAGGCCCTCCCGCCTCATGGGCGTGCTCGTCCTTCTGGTTGGCGTGCATTTCCCACCACTTGTTCCCGTGACATCCGTGAGCTCTCTGCTGAGGCTTCACTTCCTCAGAGCCCGTCCCTGACTGGGGCGGTGCAGAGTTGCGTGTGAGAGCACACACTCTGGGGCCCATCCGCCACCTGCCAGCTGTGTGGCCTGAGCATACAGTTCCTCAGTTTCCTTATCTGTAAAATGAGGACAATAATAATACCTCCCACGTAGGGTTCTTGTGGAGATTACCTGAAGCACTTGGGATGCTGCCTGGCAATTCAGTAAGTTTACCGAATGATTATATTGCTTTTAGTGAGTTAGGTTTCTCCCAGTTTTTTCCAAGTGCCTTTTCTTCATAACAGAATCAAAATCTAATTCTTTATGTAAATATTGGTTTAATGTCTTCTTCTACCACTGGAATATAAATTCAGTGAGGACAGGGGCCATATTTGGTTGACCTTTGGGAACCCAGTACTTAGCACAGCCCAACACTCAGTAGATAACATAATAGACATTCAAATAAATATGTTGTGTGTGAGTGAGTGAATAAATGAATGAACCTTTTTACATGCCACTTAAATTCGATCAATAGGTTGATAAAATATATTATGGTTTAACCACAAAATAGATTATTACGTACCTATTAAAATATGTCTACCATTCTACCATTCATTGTGAAGTAAAGCAATGAAAATGATAAGTAGACTGTATAGGTACAGATACGTTATCTATGTATGGATGGGAGAAGGTCTGAAAGGGCTTTTTAGAAATGGTGGTTCTTTCAGGGTAATGAAGATTATGATATTTACATTGAACTGAAAAGGCTGTATGTGATATTTGGGGCGGGGAGATATTCCCCTCCAGAAAGTACGGCATTATAAAACTTTTCACTTGTTTTTATTTCAGTAAGTACTGCCCAGCTGGTTGTCTGCTTCCTTTTGCTGAGATATCTGGAACAATTCCTCATGGATATAGAGATGTAAGTTAGTTATAGACTTATTTTAAAGTTGTGATAACTTTATTAAAATATTAAAAATAACTTTATTTTTTTAGAACTCCAGAATAGTCAGACATATATCTAATATGTATCTTTATCTTTTTGGTTTTCAGAAGTTACTTATTAGTAAAACATAATATTCTATTCTTTTTCTTCTACTAAAAATCTATTGTGTTACAGTACCAGTAATCTATAATTATGATAAAACTACTCAGGTCAACTGATTTCTTGAGGAAGTAGAAGTGTCTTGTTTATGAATTACCAAGAAAAAAATTTAAAACTAATCTTTTCTTTTTCCTTCCCTTAAGTCCTCGCCACTCTGCATGGCTGGTGTGCACGCAGGAGTGGTGTCAAACATTTTGGGTGGCCAAATCAGCGTTGTTATTAGTAAAGGTATCCCATACTATGAAAGTTCTTTGGCTAACAACATCACATCTGTCGTGTAAGTATACACACGCTATCTTATATATCCATATATATATATATGTGCTATTTATAATAAGCCTGCTGCTGGGTGGTGGTGGGCTAGAGACTGGCTAGCTCTCAGCAGTATTACTGTCAATTGTGTTCATGACATCACATTTAGGCAATAAGCACTCACATTCGTGTGTGCTTGATATCTGATTATTTTGAAGAGTACAGGCAGTGTTACACTACTTTAGCTTGTTCTTCAAAAAGGTAGTCATTTGAAAGAGTGATTTATTTATTTCTTTTCTAAGTGTTGAAAAAGTCTGGAGTAAGAGTCTAGAACTTTGTTGCCAAATCCTTACTTTATTTCAAAGATCAGAAGGCATAACTGCTTTGTTCCTTATAGCCCGTGTGACTCCAGATGGATTGAGCATAATTGAAATACTTTGAATATAAATTAAAAGTTCACATAAAAACATTATAAGTATTATTATGAATATTCCTCTCATTCCACGAGAATATTTTAAGAACATATATTCATGGTATCTACAGTGTTCTACTATTTTACAAAATACAGACCAGGCATCAAAAGCAGAAGTTGAAACAGTAAATATAAATGCAGTATCAGCAGTCTGTTTTCGTAAATCTTGATATGCTCAATCCTGCAGACAATGCTAAGCCTTATTGAAACCAGCTTCTCTTCAGAGGTCCTAGGCCAGAGAATGATCTATACCCAGGACAGTATATATTGGGAGTCAGTAAACTTATTCTGTAAAGATCCAGCTAGTAAATATCTTAGGCTTTACGGGCCATGTGTCTCTGTCACTTATTCTTTTTTTGTTTGTTTTATTTACAACTCTTTACCATGTAAAAATCATTCTTAGCTCATTGGCCATACAAAGCAGGCCATGCATGGAGTGTCATTCATTCCTGGTGTCTTTTGGTTTCTTCTAGATGATATTATTTTGAATCTTTCATTCCTTTCCCATTTTACCTTTAGAAAGAATTTTTTTCGATGTCAATTCTTTCTTTCATACTTTAAAAAAACTGGGTAGCCTGCATCCTCTTGTAACAGTTTGGATGTTGTGCTAAAGGCAGGGTATACACTGATGATTTGATTTCTCCAAGTTCCTTGGACCTGGCACATGGTGAACTATCCACTTGTCTTGCCCCTCCGTGCTCATCAACTCACCCATTCTGCCCATTACTTTGAAATCCAATGTCATGTTGCATTCCAATACTGAAACTTGTTCTTAGACGTGTTGATTTCCTTTAAAAAAGTGCAATCTCTCTATTAATAGCCAATTGTTCTTCTGTTTGTTCCCGGAAACTTGAGCCTCATTTTCTGAGAATTACACCTTTTAGTGTACTTTCCCCAAAAGCAGTTGCCACAGAAAAATTTTAAGAATCAATTTATTTAATGAAATAAAATAGTGAGAGATTGACAATAAACAATGAATAAATAAATTATGAAAAAGAAATAAGTACATATTAAAGGTTACATGGACACATTTGCACAAACATGTGAAACTGGGTACTTGTAGCGAAAATTGTCTATGCTGCTTCCAGATGTTGTCCTGCTTAGAAATGAGACGTTTTATCTAGGAGCAATATCAGTTGTCTAATTTATAGCCACGGAATCTTCTTAGTTCTTTAAACAGTAGTGGGGGGAATCCAAATCAGAAGAAAAACTTTCACTAAGGTAAATACAAAAAGTCATGTTATGCGAATATCCTCAAAAAACCTCTCTGTCTTTCAGGGGACACTTATCTACAAGCCTTTTTACATTTAAGACAAGTGGTAAGCCTTTCATGGACTTTATAACTTTATTTTTTATATAATAGTTAGTACTTTTTAAACATTGTATGTCAAACACTATCAATTGCTGTTTTTTTTGTACTTTCTTACGTGGTTGTCATAACAACACTATGAGATAAGATAGATACCTAATAATATTATGAATAAAATAAATTGAAGGTTTTTTATTAATTGGGAAATGATTACGTAAGCAAGGAAGCTTCCTTAGAAAAATGACTTTTAGGCCGGATGCAGTGGCTCAGACCTGTAATCCTAGAACTATGGGAGGCCAAGGCAGGAGGATCGCTCAAGGTCAGGAGTTTGAAACCAGCCTGAGCAAGAGTGAGACCCCCATCTCTACTAAAAATAGAAAGAAATTAATTGGCCAACTAAAACTATATAGAAAAAATTAGCTGGGCATGGTGGTACATGCCTGTAGTCCCAGCTACTTAGGAGGCTGAGGCAGAAGGATCACTGGGCCCAAGAGTTTGAGGTTGCTGTGAGCTAGGCTAATGCCACGACAGTCTAGCCAGGGCAACAGAGTGAGACTCTGTCTCAAAAAAAAAAAAAAAGAAAAGAAAAATGACTTTTGAACTTGTCTGAAGAAGTAATTAATCCATTCAACCAGAAAATATTTAGTGAGTGCTGCCTTTTATGTGGCAGGCACTGTTTGGTGCTAGTGTTACACTAGTGAGTAAAATAATCAAACTCCTGCCTTCCTGAAGTTTATATGCTGGTAGTGAGAGATTGGCAATAAACGATGAATAAATAAATTATTATTTATAATGTACTGTTTATGATAAAAGATGCAGAAAAATAAAGTGAGGAAGGAGGATAGGAAATGCAGGATAACTGGATTTAAGTTTTAAGTAGGATCAGGGAAGGCCTCATAGACAATGTGACATAGGACCAAAAACCTGTAGGAGGTAAAGGAATGAAATGCCCACTTATCTGAGGAGAGGGTAGTATATCTCCATTAAGCTGACAGTTATTGCTTGTGAATGAGTATGTTTGTAGGGTTCCTAATGATACACAAAGACATGCCCAAGAAACACTGCCTAGTTTTGAGATTTCTTAGTTACAATATATTATTAGCATAATGTATGTTAATTAAAGGAACTATAGGAAGTTTTCAGCGAGCAGGTCTATATAGGTTTTAAATTTATATCTGGAAACCAAATTACTTTCTTCTTTGTTTCAGGTTGTTATGGAACGCTGGGAATGGAATCTGGTGTGATTGCCGATCCTCAGATAACAGCATCATCTGTGCTGGAGTGGACTGACCACACAGGGCAAGAGAACAGTTGGAAACCTGAAAAAGCTAGACTGAAAAAACCTGGACCTCCTTGGGCTGCTTTTGCCACTGATGAATATCAGTGGTTACAAATAGATCTGAATAAAGAAAAGAAGATAACAGGTTAAGAGAGAGAATTTTGGGGAACAATTTATAATACTGCTTTTATTTGGAAAACTGGTGACATCTTAGATTTTCAGAAAAAATTCGGTCACTGAAAATTTGATTATTAGGTTTTCCTCACTGGTGTTAGTATTGCTGGAGATAGTTTTATAAAACATGACAGAGAAGAGGACTTGGTTGGTATTTAATTCTTAATTTCTTTTATTTCTCATTATAGTAAGACTTTTAAGGTAGTGTTTCAGTAAAGTGATCTTGAGACCCCTGAAATAACCATCTCTTATGGTCATTAAGACAAATTTATGCTAAAGGAGTCCATTTTAAGTACAATAAGTAATTTTCCACATGTGCTGAATATAAATGTAATTTAGAGAATTTTAGCAAATAAATGTCAGAATCATTGGTTTGGATTGGTTTAGATAACTTTCTTAAGAGATTTATTTTGCTTAGGTACTGTAAAAACTACTAGTAATCATCTTTAATCTGTTCCTTCCCAGGAATTCATTCTTTTTTTTTTTGAGACAGGGTCTTGCTCTGTTGCCCAGGCTGGAGTGCAGTGGTGTGATTATAGTTCACTATAGCCTCAAATACCTGGGTTCAAGGTGATCCTCCTGCCTTAGCCTCCCAAGTAGCTAGGACTATAGGTGCGTGCCACCACGTCCGGCTAATTTTCTTTTTTAAATTTTTTGTAGAGACAAGGTCTTGCTGTGTTGCCAAGACTGGTCTTGAACTCCTGACCTCAAGTGATTGTTTTGCCTCGACCTCCCATAGTGCTGGGATTACAGGCATGAGCTGCTGTGCCCAGCCCCAGGAAGTCATTGTTACTCAGTACTTGAAATGTACTTTACAATGATAAGAACACAAGCTGCCAAAATAGAACAGTTTTTTTTTTCTTTATGTACACCCATAATTTTTCTGTTTCTACAAGAGAGCAAACCCAAGGATTTACTATTATGATGAAAACTTGTACTTAGATGTGGAAATGAGTCATAAGCAGAAATCTTTGAACAGTATATATCAGGTGTTTATGCTTTGATGCTGAACAAACTTTGGGAATCAGACTAATTCCATTAGTGCAATAATGAAAGCTAACTCTTTATTCTCCAGGCATTATAACCACTGGATCCACCATGGTAGAGCACAATTACTATGTATCTGCCTACAAAATTCTGTACAGTGATGATGGGCAGAAATGGACTGTGTACAGAGAGCCTGGTGTGGAACAGGATAAGGTAAAATGAATACCAAAGTATTTTTAAAAACATATTTTAAAGTGGCCTTTACCGAAAGTCACAGAAGTTAAATATCATTTTGTCTTGCACTGCCCTCTTATGGTTATTTTAGGTAGTGTTAGTTATATTATTAACTGTGGTTAGAAAATTCTCAGTAGTTCTAGGTCCCTTTTGGTGATTTTAAGGGTAAGTAATTTCCTGACTTTTGTCACTATATTTTCAACTGAATTATGTAAGACACTTTAATAAAGTTAAAAATGGAACTTGTAATTTCTTGTCTTTATAAAGCTTTCCTTATCAGTTCACCAGGTGATGAAGAGCCTTTGTTCCCAGATTTCTACTCTTTAGGCAATAGTTACAAAAGACCAAAAAGCTGAAGCCAAAATACATTAAATTATACGATGTTATAGACTTGGAAAGTCTTTTAAGATCATCTTACCAACTTTCGTCTTAGAAAGCTTACGCTTTTTTCCTACCTGAAGAATTTTTTTTACTAATGGTAATTATGAAATCTTTGTTTTTGTTAGCAAAAAAATTATGAAGATGCCGGGATGAGCCAGAGGAGATGATAAGGTGTGGAGAGTAGGCAGAGGTGGATCTCATCCAGAAGTTTATCCTTGTGATCCACCAGAAAGATCTTTATTTGTATTTTTTTATTTTTTTTGAGACAGAGTCTCTCTTTGTTGCCTGGGCTAGAGTGCTGTGGCATCAGCCTGTCTCACAGCAACCTCTAACTCCTGGGCTCAAGCAATCCTACTGCCTCAGCCTCCCGAGTAGCTGGGACTACAGGCATGCACCTGGCTAATTTTTTCTATATATATTAGTTGGCCAATTAATTTCTTTCTATTTATAGTAGAGATGGGGTCTTGCTCTTGCTCAGGCTGGTTTTGAACTCCTAACCTCAAGCAATCCGCCCACCTCGGCCTCTCAGAGTGCTAGGATTATAGGCATTAGCCACCTCGCCCGGCCCAGAAAGATCTTTAAATGGAGGAATCCTATTCCCAAGGAAGATAGATGCCATCCATTTAGAACTGAAGCTATGAGCACATTTTTCCAATTAGATTTCCCTTTGTATTTGGTTTCAATTATATATTTGCAGTTTTTCTTTCATGTATGATTTGCTGGTATATCTCCAGTTACTACTTTGCTCATCTGTCTGTTCAGAAATCTCCAGGGGCTCCCTATTTTTCATATGTTATTTTTCAATAATAGCTGAACTCTTCAGCTGTTATTCAAGACTTCTGTCTTTTCTCCTAGTTGATATTGCATGAACTTCATCTTTGGTGAGCTTCTTTCCATTGAAGCAAATAACAGTACTGCCTCCATACCTATCTTCTGCTTAATGCCTTCAAACTTGACTACTCTCTCCTAGCACATCTATATCTATTTGTATAGTATTTGTTAAATTTGTGGAAATATAGTTAAATTGTTGAAATTTTAGGAATTTTTCATCCTTATATTGTAAGAAAGAACCTCTAACAACATGGAATTATATTTCTGAAAGACTTTTTTGCCTTCATTGTTGAAAGATAATTTTACTGGGTGTAGAATTCTAGGTTGACCTTTTATCTTTTTTTCCCTGTGGCTGCATTTAAGGTTTTCTTTTTCTCATTTGCTTTAAGCAGTTTGATTATGATGTAGCTTTGTGTAGTTTTCTTTCATGTGTTTTCTGTTTGGGATTCTTTGAGCTTTTGGGGTCTGTAGTTTGTTATTTACATCACAGTTAGAAAATTATAGTTTGCTTTTTATTCATATATTTCCTTTTCCCAATTCTAAGTTCATGAATGTTATGACCCTTGAAGATGTCTCACAATTCACTAATGCTCTGTTCATATTTTTTCAATCTTTTTCTCTTTTTTAATTTGGAAAATTTCTTTTGTCTTCAAGTTCACTAATATTTTTTTCTGCATTGTCTAATCTGCTAATAATCTCATTCAATGTATTTTTATTTCTGATACTGTATTTTCCACCTCTGTATTTTTAGTTTGGGGGCTGAGGGCTTTAAAATTTCTTCCATGTCTCTTCTTTACATGCTGACACTTTTCTTGATCTATGAAACATATGGATCTTATAATAACTCTTTTAATGTCATTATCTACTGGTTTTATCATATTTGTCATATCTGAGTCTTTTTATGTTGATTGAAATGAATCATATTTTATATGCCTGGTGATTTTTTTATTGGATACCAGACATTATAAACTTTACATTATTTGTTGCAGGATTTTTTTATTATTATTACTTCCTTAAATATTTTTTAGCTTTATTCTGGATGCAGTTAAGCTACTTGGAAACAACTGGATCTTGTTAAATCTTGCTTTTAAGCTTTATTAGACTGGTCCTGAGCAGCTTTTAGTTCTCTAATTTTTCCACACCGCTGAGACAATACTGTTCTATGTACTCAACCCAGTGTCTCATTATTAGGAGGTTTCTCCATTCTTTCTGTTGGCAGTGTAAGGTGTTCCTGACCTGTGTAGCTTTGAGAATTGTTCTATTGGCTCCTTCACATGGTTCTTTCACTCGTCATAGGCCATTTCTTTACATGTAGCTGAAGATTTCAGGAAAAACCCTTTACAGATCCTAGAAGAATCTCTTTCTCTCTCTCTCTCTCTGTTTAACATATATACATACATACATATATATATATATATTTCTCCCCTCTATCTTTGTGGTTCTCTCCTAAACTCTGCCTATCCAATTCTAGCTGTCTTGCTGGCTTCTCTCTGTCTCCAAGCTCTGTCTTCTCAGTTCAGTGAGACCACCAGGCTCTGTTAGGGGTCTCTCTCCCTGTGCTGTGGCCTGGAAACTTGCCCCAGATAGTACTGGGGCAAAAGCAGGGCTCACCTTATTTGTTTTCCTTCTTTCAGTGACTATTGCCCTATGCTGTTTGTTGTCCTGGATATATTTTATCCAGTTTTTCAGATGTTTAAGGCTGAAGGATAAGTCTAGTCCCTGTTACTCTATTCTGGCCAGAAGTGGAAGTCCTCACATTGAATTATATAAAATAATAATCTTTTGCCTCACATCTGTCTATCTGTTTTCTTATCTCTCCCAACTCAAGGGTCATTGGTGTATTCATTTTTATACCTTTTCTAAACTTACATCTGTGCATGGGCACATAGAGATGGCATTTGGTTATTTTCAGAAAATGAAATTTATATATATATATACTTATACACACACACATATTTTTTCCATAACTTTCTAGTATTATGCCTTTTCCATAACTTTCTAGTATTATGCCTTATGTTTTTTTAGAGATGGGGTCTTGCTCTATCACCTAGGCTGAAGTGCAGTGGTGTGATCATAGCTCACTGTAACTTCCTGGGCTCAAGTAATTCTCCTGCCTCAGCCTCCCAATTAGCTGGGACTACAGGCACATGCCACCACACCCAGCTAATTTTTTTAAAAACATTTTGTACAGATGCAGTCTTGCTATGTTGCCCAGGCTGGTCTCAAACTCCTGGCATCAAGCAATCCTCCCACCTCTGCCTTCCAAAGTGCTGGGATTATAAGCTTGAGCCACTGCACCAGACCTCTTACACCATATTTATGTGTGGTTAACATACAACAAAACTTAAGTTTCTTGAGGGTAGGGGCTTTAACTTCTATTTCCATTTTGTTCTCATGACACCTAGGAAACCTTTCTGTACACAGAGATTCTCAATAAATGTGTTCATAAGTTGACTATAGCAAATATTTTTTACTCAATTTTAATAAAATCTTTTTCTTTTAAGTTTTTTGCAAAATTGAGACAACAGTTTTATGTCCTAAAATGTTTCGTTATTGTTCCTGTTCCACTAATAGAAGACTGCAAAATAATTGCCTTCATTTTATTTCAGTGTAATATCTGAGGAAATCATGGAATCCTACTAGTATGGATATTATTGTAACTTCAAAACCTTTTACAAAAGTGACAGATATTAAAATATCTTTAGAGGTTTATGTGCCATGTGAATCAGCCAAGAAGAATTAGCCACAATATTTGGAAATAACATGATTGAGAAATTAAACATTTACTTTACTCTCACCTTAGCTGATAAAAAAACCAAATCACTTGATTTTAGCTGGGTGTCTACTTATTAATAGTATTTAGAAACTACCTAACTGATTTGGCCTACGGAAAAGGCAGGGCTCTTTTTATCTTATTGGAGCCCTGTATTTAGTCAGAAGACCCAGATTCAAGTCACTGCCTGTTATTCACTAGTTGTGTAATCCAGTTGCATTCTCTGAGTCACCACTTCCTGTGCCCTGCCTATTACTAGAGTTGTCATAACGAGCATCTTATTTAATTACATGAAAATGCTTTATAAGTAATTCAGAGCTGTTTCAGTATAAGGTACTGTCATAATTTGCTTGAAATAGTTGAGGGAATGAGAGTGACTTAAAATAATATTTTTACCTAAGGATTATTAAGAATTAAGTATTATATAAAATATAATACCTTTGTTGCTATTTATTATGATCATTAAATTAGGCACACGACAGTGTTTTCAGAATCACTTTTCTGGTTGAGATTTTAACAAGGAATGAAAACTGGGATTAGAATATGGGAACTGTCATTACACAGTTTATCCAGTAGGTGGAAGTCTATATCTGTGATATATTCCTTAGTATATGTTCACTTTCAGCCTATTTATTGAGAGAAAAATTATGAAAAGTATATAAAAGCAAACCATTTCTTCCAAGACTTCATATGATCAATACTGTTTTACTTTAAAAATAAAATTAGTAGATTTAAATAGTTGGTAATTCCACAGGACTAGAGTTACTAATTTATTAATACAGTAAACTCTCACTGGATTTGAAACCCTTTTCTCAAATTGCCAAGTTGGCCCTCTTGTAAAATTCTTAAATCATTTAAAAATTATTTTTATATTAAATATTTTCCTTTTATAAATTTTGATGAAGAATGTACAACTTCTTAATAGATTTTCCAAATTATGATTAAATTATTTTCTTAGAAATTAATTCTTATTGTCACGCTTTGCAGATGTCATTTAAGGCTGAAAGGAAAAAACAAAAACATGGGACAATTTAACCCTGACCTCTGTTGATTTAAAGTACCGATTTTTTGTTGTTTTTTAAAGATATTTCAAGGAAACAAAGATTATCACCAGGATGTTCGTAATAACTTTTTGCCACCAATTATCGCACGTTTTATTAGAGTGAACCCTACTCAATGGCAGCAGAAAATTGCCATGAAAGTGGAGCTGCTTGGATGTCAGTTTATTCCTAAAGGTAAAGAGACAGTGGGTTTAAGACATGTTATTTTCACTGGATTGTTAATTTAAAATGGTTTTGCTGATAAGTGTGTTTTTTGGATGTAAACTCTAATTATAATATTTTCTTAAAGCGATTTTTAAAAATAAGCAGTTACCCTATTATAATAAAAAGATACATATCAGAATAGTTTCCAAAATTACAAGTAGAAAAAGAAATAAAATCTTTCATTAGGTAGTGTAATGAGGTCACTTACCAAATTTAGTCTTAGTTAATAATTTTTAAATCAGGTCTCATGTATTGTGATATTTGTGTAACATAAGCACTAAAGATAATAACAGTAAATTAAAAGTGGGAATAATTTCCCTCAATAATGTGTAATATTTTAATATATTGTTTATTACTGTGTTCCCAAAAACTACCCCAGTACCTGACACATAGTTAGCCCTCCACAAATATTTACTAAATAAATTGAACAAGTAATATATCAGATTGTCATGGCTCCTTTATAGCTTTGGAATTCAACATCATTCTCCTCCCCATTATTCTCCTAAGAAGATTATTTTCAGATGATTTAATTATTTAAAAACTAGGAAATCCTGGCACATTTATGCATCTAATATTTATCCTTCTAAAATATTTCCCTCTGAGATTGAAAAATTACTTGGCAGAATTAAATACTTACAGAAATGTTAAAAATATTTAACGTTACTATTTTTAACTATGATTTTAAAAATCAAAATATGTAAACTTTTAACCATTTTTCAAGGTCGTCCTCCAAAACTTACTCCACCTCCACCTCCTCGGAACAGCAATGACCTCAAAAACACTACAGCCTCTCCAAAAATAGCCAAAGGTATACCTGTTTTTAATGTGAGAATTTGATATTCCCTGGATTGCTGGTATAACTTTCCATAAATATATTAAAAGCATTATAAAATAACTATCTTGAGTTGGTGTATATAAAAAAATTAAGAGTTTTTTCAACTTTTTTCAAGGTCGTGCCCCAAAATTTACTCAACCACTACAGCCTCGCAGTAGAAATGAATTTCCTGCACAGACAGAGCAAACAACTGCTTCTCCTGATATCAAAAACACTACCGTAACTCCAAACGTAACCAAAGGTATGCAAATGTGAAAACGAACACCTATTCCATAGTAATGTTTTGTTTTTAACTAAAGTTTTCATGGGCATTTCCAGCTTAAACCCTCAGTTTCTTTTCCTCCAATTATATTTTTTTAAATAAAGCCAAAAAGAATTTTGATTTCCTCCCTTTGGAAAAAGACTGCTTGTATTGATCTAAGTTCTATTCTCTGGTGCCCTGTAGAATTGTTCTTTAAATATTAGAGATGACTACTATGTTGTAGGCCCCTCTTGTGATTTTTTTCCCCCCTTATGACCAAACACATTGAGTCTCAGGCTTAGAAATACAATATTTCTAGAGATTTTTAGAAATAACTGAAATCATAGCAGGAAACAAACTTTTTTCCCCCTGGCGATAAATTAATTTTCTGGAGAGCCAACTTGATGGCAATAGGAAAAGTGAAAACAGAACTTGTGGTGGAAGCTAATACTTAAAAAAAAAAATACTCTGAGTCAACATATTAAAAAAAGAAATTTAGTGTCTGTTTTTAAATGTATACGGCTATAATTTTCTCAGATTATAAGTATAAATGTATTAGAATTTACTTGCAAATTTTATCAGTGATAAATAAGGTGTTAAATATATAAAATATAGTAGTTAAAATACAAAAAAGGTAGTAGTAGTTTCACTAGTTGAAAAAATTTCAGTTGAATTAAAAAGAAGTATCAGTGTCACAATAGAGTAAGTGTCACTGCAGAGACAAGGCAGCAATCCATCCAGAGTAACTTGTCCACATAGAACTCTTAATCATTCTCTTTTGTGAAAATTTGGATTCAGATAACTTTCTCCAACTTTCCACATGTCAGTTTCTTTCCTATATTCTGTGGTATAAAGACCAATTTCTTTCTCCTGCTGCAAGTAAAGCTGGAGAGAAGCAGGAGTTCTCAGCAGCGAGAGATCTCAGCATCTCACAAAGAGCTTCTTGCCAGTTGTCCCCAAGGCTTGTCTTTAGGCAGAATCTCAGACGACATGCCTGGCTGAAAGAACAGTCATCTAAAAGTACTGCTCATCTTACAATCTGATTATAGAATCACAAAATCTCAAGGGTAAATGTGTCCTTAGAACTTCGGGATCCCTATTAGCTTAAAAAGCATAACAAAGAATGGGCTGGTCTTCTCAATTGAAGACATCCTGTCTCCATTTTGGGGATGGCAGTAGTGTATAGATATTACTTTTTTAACCTAAGCAGATGTTTCAAAGCCTCTCGTTAAATCACACTGCATCCATCTAAGCCTGATTATTCTCTCCCTTTTTACACATTTTAGGGGAAAAGTACATTTACTTCTCTGAATTCTGAGTGCTTTCTAGCATGAGTCATAATTTCTGTTGTGTGCTCTTCTCCTCCTGCATTTTTATACCCAGGCTGAGAGTGATTTCATGGAGAAAAGCATGTCATGGTCAGATTCGTGCCTCTGTAGCTTCCAGATCCTCTCTCAGTGGGGCCCTTGGCACCAGCTGGTGATCTTTCTGAATGTCTCTAGTGAGCTCTTCTGTCTGTTCTCAATGGTGGCATTTTTCAACACTCCATATTTTCCAAACCCTTGACCCAAATATCTTCACTCACTCTCAGTTACCTCTCCAACTTTGCAAAGAAAGTAGAAACCATTGGAAGGTGCCCACAAATTTACCTGTATCCTCTGTTCACTGCAGTGAAAATGGAGCTTCCTTATGCTGCCCAAGGCTAATCATTTCACCTGTGCCCTAATCCCCTGGTCTCTCTACTCTCAGAGACTTGATGTTGATTATCTTCTCCTTTTTCTCCATCATCAGCCTTTTTCTTTTGGATATAATTGTTGTCAGGAATCAAGAAGATGCTGCAGGTTAGACTCTTCGCAGTGTCTGGTTCTTAGCTCCCAGTAAATATCAGCAATTGCTGCTGTTGTCATCCTTCTGGCCAGTAGTGGGTTGAGGGATATAAGGGAAGAAACTAATATCCCAAATGACTTCAGGCAGACCATTTTCTATATCTGGGCCCAGGATATCTTATCTGTGGAGTCAGATTAGGGAATTAAATGATCCCTAAGTCCCTGCCAGCTCCAGCATTGTGTCGGTTTCAGACCTGTTCATATACACGTTTTCAGTCGGCTTTCTGTGCTTAACACCACATTGTTACCTTCCCATGTCTGTAAATATTTTGCCATTATGTTGTAGCATCATTTTCAGTTGCTGAATTATATTCGACTGGAAGGAGGATACCATGATTTATTTGTTCCCTCATTTTTGGGTATTTGGATTATTTCCAATTTCTCACTCTTATGCAGAAATAGGAGTAAATATCTTTGAAGATGCACTTTTTTTTTTAATTCAGCATATTATGAGGGTACAGGCATTTTGGTTACATGAAATGCATCTGCCTCGCTCAAGGCAGGGCCACAAGCATGTCCTTCCCACATACAGGGCACCCCATCTCCATTAGCTGTGTGTTTACTCACCCCACCCCAGTCTACCCCCCAACCCCCTACCTGACTGGCACCCAGTGAGTATTGCTACCATGTGAACAACTTAGTGTTGATCCGTTAGTACCAGTTTGATGGCAAGTACATGTGGTGCATGTTTTTCCATACTTGTGATACTTCACTTCGAAGCTTTTAATGTCTTAATTTTTCTAAAAATAAATTCTAGATATGGAATTTCCATTAATATGTTTTATACATACTGCCCCCAAATGCCAATCAGAAATATAGTATCAATTTATATTTTCATAAAAAAAGCTTTTCTGGCGTCCTCTTCAACAATTGTTCTTTTAAATATTTGCCAATTTGATAGGCAAAAATGGTATCTTGTTCTTGTTTTAACTTATATTTCTTTGATTACTAATGAGGCAAACATGTTTAATGGCTACTTGTATTTTTTAATGTATTGCTAGTTCATCTCCACTGATTTTTCTGTTACATTGTTAGGTTTTGACTTATAAAGTCCTATAATATATTATTTATGTTAATCCTTTATCACATATGCAGAAAATTTATTTTCCCAGTTTATTATTTGTCTTTGTTTTATTTTAGTGATTTAAAAACTTATGAAAGTGTCAAACATACACAAAGGTGGAATGAATGGTATAATGAGCTTTCATGTATTCATGAAAGCTTCTGCAGTTACCAGCATGTTGCTCAGTCTTGATAAATGATGCTTATGGTATTTTTTGAAACAGAAAAATGTTGAATGATGATAGAGTTAAATCTTTCAGTCTTTTCCCTGGTGATTTATACCTTTGTGTTAATGTGGCTTTTTGGTTTTGTTTTTATAACTTCAGATGTAGCACTGGCTGCAGTCCTTGTCCCTGTGCTAGTCATGGTCCTCACTACTCTCATTCTCATATTAGTGTGTGCTTGGCATTGGAGAAACAGGTTAGTATATAACTAGTTCACCTAATTGCTCCTAGGGAGGATGTATTTCAAAACTGCCAAATGTGAAATAGAAACAAAATACAGAAGGTGAACTACATACAATTCCCCTGTTTGAAAGTAAGAGTTAAAATAGTTATTAGAGTAAAAATTTCATGTTTTTCCTTTGTTCCCTTTAAAAATGAGAAAATTCAATTCCACAGTCAGTTACTGAGTACCTTTATTGTATCAAATTCTGCATTATACACTAGGATATGTACCTGAATAAGTACAATTTCTGGCACACGATACTTAGTATTATTTACTGAAAGAATGAGACATAGTTCCTTTCTCCAAAGTGTTTAGCGGGGTTGACTGACAAAAATAAGGAACTATATCGTATGGTTTGAGGAGTTATTTTTGAAGTGCTGAGGAGAATCATGAGACTTACCTGAAGTTTTTTCTTTGGGAAAGGGGAATCCTCAAGTTCGGCATGTTTCACCTTAAAGGAGTTGGAGTTGTCTAGTTAGAGGAAGACAGATGTCTTAGTCTCTTTGGGCTGCTATAAGAAAATACCATAAACTGGGTGGTTTATAAGTAGTAGAAATTGATTTCTTACTGTTCTGGAAGCTGCAAAGTCTAAGATCTAAGCACAGGTGGAGTTGATGAGTGGGTTGGGCCTGCTTTCTGGCTCATAGACAGTGGCTTCTTGCTCTGTCCTCACATGGTGGAAGAGGCAAATAATCTCCCTCCAGGCCTCTTCTTTAACAGCACTACTCCCATTTGTGAAAGTTCTGCCTTCATGACCTAATCACTTCCCAAAGGCCCCATTTCCTAATTCTACCACCTTGGGATTAGGGTTTCAGTGTATGAATTACACTCATTGACTTATAAAGTCCTATAATATATTATTATTATATTAGGGTTTCAGTGTATGAATTCCCGAGAGACACAAACATTCAGACTATCACAATAGAGTATGGCCCAGCCTGAGGGAATTGCTTGAGTGAAGGCAGCACAGAGCTGTGGAATAGAAACAGAATAGGGAGTCATCTCATGTGGGCCTGTCAAGGAAGAGTCCTGAGAGGTAACCATTGGAATGTGGTCTGGGCCTGGATCAGGATGGGCTTTCTGGGAGAGAAAATTTGGTTTTATTCTATAGATGGGGAATCACTGAGTGTTAAGCACATGGGTGATATTATTAGATGATTGTAGAAAGAGAGTGGCAGGAGTTTTGAAGGGTGGATTGAAGAGGAGAGAGGTTGAAAGAGGCAGTGAGATGAGTTAGGAAACCACTGAGGCCAGGTAGGCACATAACAACACGGTGATTCTAGGGAAGGGAGAAGAGATGGACAAGGAGAGTTTCCCAGTGGCTTTGACAAGATGCATGACAAGTTATCTGAGGAAGAAGGAAGGATCCAGGGTGATCTGAGGTTTGCGATTTGCACATAGACCAGTAGAGATGTCATGAGTTGAGATAACACCAGGAGGGACAGATTTGGTGGAGAAGGAGAATGATTTCATTTGTTTAAACATTCAACAAATAAGCAAATACTTGGCTCCTACCCTGTGCCAAGTATTGAGCCATGTGCCTAGAGTTCTGTAATGAACCCCAAAGCTTAGTAGAGATCAGGAGGGCAACCACAAAATGTGAGCCATGGGAGGATCCCAGATTCTTGGTGTTAGGAAGGCCGTCTGAGTAGACCCCAGTAAGTTAGTGTGAGAGCAATAGGGAGAAGAGAAGGGGACGGGCTTTGGGAAAGTCCAGAGAGGGCAGCATATGAGCCATTCAGCAAACTGAGCGACGACAACAACAATGGTAGTGGTGAGGCCCACAGCAGCAATAGCTAATTTTTATAGAAAATTAAATGCTGATTTTTAGGCATTATTCTAAATGTTTTAGGCATCATTCTAAATTATTATTCTAAATACATGTATTAACTCATTTAATCCTCAAACAGCCTATGAAGCAAGTACTGTACTAAACCCCATTTTACAGAAGAAGGGAGTGAGGCATAGCATAATTAACTTGGCCACAGTCACCCAGCTAGTACAGGGCAGAGTAGGGCTTTAGACTAGGTTTCAGGGCTCGTGCTCTTTTTATTTTATTTATTTATTTATTTATTGATTGATTGATTGATTGATTGAGACAGAGTCTCCCTCTGTTGCCCAGGCTAGAGTGCCATGGCTTCAGCCTAGCTCACAGCAACCTCAAACTCCTGGGCTCAAGCAGTCCTTCTTCCTCAGCCTCCCGAGTAGCTGGGACCACAGGCATGCACCACCATGCCTGGCTAATTTTTTCTGTATATTTTTAGCTGTCCAATTAACTTCTTTCTATTTTTGGTAGAAATGGGGTCTCGCTCTTGCTCAGTCTGGTCTCAAACTCCAGAGCTCAAACGATTCACCCGCCTCAGCCTCCCAGAGTGCTAGGATTATAGGCGTGAGCCTCTGGGGCTATGCTCTTATCTACCGCTGCCTCTGAATGTGTAATAAACAAAGTGTAACCCACTGTGGTTGAAGCACAGGGTGTGAAGATGAGGAGTGGGGAGTAGAGCTGTTGAGAGGGGCAAGAGTCGGGGCCTGAGGTCAGTTTGGGATAGTGTGGAAAGGACCCTGTGGGTTCAGAATCCCAGGAGGCAATTGGACTGCACGCCTGGTGTTCAGGATACAGGTCTGAGCTGGAAAAGTGAAGTTATTACTAAGAATGTAGTTGAGATTGCTGATAAGTGACTTCATGACAAGGAGTAAAGGAGCAGATGCCATTAAGGGACTATGGAAAATAGGAGGAGAAGAATAAAAAACAGCTGCAACTTATTGAATCCTTAGCCCATGGCAAACACTGTATGTGTAATGATTAAGTGACCTGAAGCTTTGCTACTTGAGATTAAGTATATAGAATCTTTTATGGTATAATGCTTGGCTAATACTCACACAATTAAATTTGTTGTTCTAGCCATTTAGGGCATCTTAACTTCCATCTAGAAAAGATTATTGATTTTTTTTTTTTTGATTTTTTTTTATCTTTTTAGGAAAAGTATCTTGCTCTATTGCCTAGGCTTGAGTGCAGTGGCGTGAAGAGAGCTCACTGTAAGCTGGGCACAGAGGCTCACACCTGTAATCCTAGCACTCTGGGAGGCCAAGGCGGGTGGATCATTTGAGCTCAGGAGTTTGAGACTAGTCTGAGCAAGAGTGAGACCTTGTCTCTACTAAAAATAGAAAGAAATTAGCTGGACAATTAAAATATATATATAAAAAATTAGCTGGCCATAGTGGTGCATGCCTGTAGTCCCAGCTACTCAAGAGGCTGAAGCAGAAGGATTGCTTAAGCCCAGGAGTTTGAGTTTGTTGTGAGCTAGGCTGACGCCATGGCACTCTAGCCCCGGCAACACAGTGAGACTCTGTCTCAAAAAAAAAAAAAAAAAATAACAAAAATTATAGCTCACTGTAACCTCAAACTCCTGGGCTCAAGGAATCCTCCTGTCTCAGCCTCCCAAAGTGCCAGGATTATAGGCATGAGCCACTGCACCTGGCTAATTTTTTTAATTATTTTAAAATATTATGACAATTACAAGAACCAGCATATTTTATTATTTCTTTTCTATTCAAGATTTTGATTAGCAGCTTCAACACTGACCGTCTCTTCCTAAGATTTTATATTATACTATTACTTTGAAATAATGAAATAATATAAATACAGCCAGCTTTAAAATGGGGAAGCTTCTAATATCAATAATGAAAACATAGTCTTATACTGGAGCAGAATGTTTCCTAGTAGGAAAAGCACACAGCTTGGGCTCTTTACAAAAGCTACATTTGTGATCTTGTGCAAATCACATAGGCGTCTTGTCATTTGTAGAATGATGTCTGCTTTCTCTGTAGCTTGAGAAGCACTAATTTTAGTTAAGTTAGATTTACACTCTTGAGTCAGAAAAATGTCCTTTCATTTGCTTGGTTTTTCTTTGTAAAAGACTCTTGGTAAATAGTATTTGTAATGGAGGCAAGGAGATTTTTCCTGAGTCAGAATTCTGAGGGGTGGGCCAGGGAGAATCTTCTTCATCGCAGACTGGCTCTCACCTACCCAAAGACTGCAGTGACTCCCAGGCCTGGAGAATCGTGTTCCCTTCCCTCAGCCACTTGGCACCGTTAGTGTAGTGTTGACTTCCCCCGGGGGCAGGGGGTTGGGTTGGAGGATCAAGTCTGTACAGTCAAGGGTATTAGACACATTAAACTTCTCTGGAACAAAGGTCTGTAGAGGAGAAGCAAGAAATTGGAAAAAAGAACAACATAGAACAGAAAACCAAATGAAGATTTTTTTTTAGTTCTGTGAATTTTGTGAAGTGATTTTCAAAATTTGTCTTTGAAACCAATGACCTATCATGATTTGCCCATAATAACCACATATCAGGGCTGATTTTTTTATTTGTTTCAGTCTTTTCATCTACAGACTTGGCTTTTTAAAATCTCCTTTATCCCTTTTGAGTAGGTACTAGGTGGGTAACAAGGTAACTATGTCAGAAGATTCTTAGTTGTTTAATTTATTGAGGGTCTAGAGTTTAATAAGCCTCAGCAGTGGCAACTTTGAGAGTGAGATGAAATAGAGGACTCCCTTTGGTTAGATCAGCAAGTGAAAATGTGTACTCTCGATTAATTATTGACTTTGGTCTTTATTCTGCAGTTTCAGAGATTTCTTACCAGTGAATTCACTCTACCTGCTATTTTTCTATATTTTTCCAGAAAGAAAAAAACTGAAGGCACCTATGACTTACCTTACTGGGACCGGGCAGGTAACTCAGTGTGGTCTTTGCATCTCTTTTCCATCAGAGCAAAGGCCCTCCCCTACAGGTGGCAGTAGTGAAAGAGGAAAGTTGTTCTTAGGCCCACATGAACTGCCCCACACTGTTAGAAACGTGGCATTACTCCTCTGTTCTCACCTTTTTACCCTTCTATAAAACCTCTTCTCACTTATAAGTAATGAAATAGTGCATAATAACATATGCTCTGTTCTTTTTCTTCTGGAAGACTTGTTTGGTTTGTCCTACGTATCTATTTCTCTTGAGGAGACCGGCTTTCTGTGTGGCCTGTGTGAACACTGAGCAAGAAACAAAGGGTTATGGCCCAGTACCAGAGTGTGTGTGTGTCCTCTGCCATGGTTACTTACCAAGTGGGGTCTAGCAGTTTAGGAATCCATGAAGCCTGCCATGCTGAGCTGTCGTCTTCTGAATTGCTGCAAGTGACACCAGAGGCCCCCTGCTGGTCTCCCACTTCCCAGCCTCACTGCTGGAGGGACTCAGGAGCCAGGCTGTGACCAGGGCAGAAAAGGGCAGTGGAGGGGCATGGGGCATATCCCAGTGTCGATAGTGCCCCAGGGTAATCTTGGAAAGTATTTTTTAAGAAAAACTTATTAAAAACCACCCCAACAAGAGACACTATGTGTGATTGCACTGTAATAGCCATGATTTGCTTCTGCATGTGTTTTTGATAGAGATTTCTACCATGTTCTGGTTTACACTGCATATTCTTCTATCAAAGCAGAAAATAAGCTTGAATATAAAGTCTAGTTTGTAGAGGTATTTGTTATAGAAATGGCTTAAATGCAACAGAGTTTGTCCCTTGATATTATCATTTGAGACATTTTTATTTAATGGTCTCTTTGGCTTACAATCACAATGAAGGTTGGTGGAAAGGAATGAAGCAGTTTCTCCCAGCCAAAACAGTGGAACACGAGGAAACCCCGGTTCGCTACAGCAGTAGTGAAGTTAATCACTTGAGTCCAAGAGAAGTCACTACAGTGTTGCAAACTGACTCTGCAGGTAACTATGTTGCAGCCTTAGGTTACCAGGTAGAGAAAGAAACTGCTTATAAAGTGCCTTGGAGTTTACAGTATCTTTGATCTTTTTCATATGTAAGAAATGACCTATTTTCTAAAGGTGGAATGAACCACTTTTTAAAAAGATGACCTTGAAGGCCAGGTGCGGTGGCTCACACCTGTAGTCCTGGCACTTTGGGAGACCAAGCCGGGAGGAACACTTGAGGCCAGGTGTTTGAGACCAGCCTGAACAAGAATGAGACCCCATCTCGACAAAAAATGGAAAAATTAGCCAGGTGTGGTGGCGCATGCCTATAGATAGTCCCAGCTACTGGGGAGGCTGAGGCAGGAGAATCGCTTCAGCCCAGGAATTTGAGATTGGAGTGAGCTATGATGATGCCACTGCACTTTAGCCTGGGAAACAAAGCGAGACCCTGTCTTAAAAAAAAATGAAAAGATGACTTTGAGAGTGTCACTTCTGTGTCTTGGATGTTCTATCCATAAAATTGAGGCATTCATTTCTAAAGACACTTGGGCATTTTGTATGTTAACTGGGGTTTTGTTTGTTTTGGTTTGGGGAGGGGGAACCAGGGATGTGGAGAAGAGAGCAGGAAAGGCATTAGCTATACGGTATTTATCCTGTTAACCTAGTACATATTCATTTTAAACATTTTCTAATATTTGAAAAAGACAATATCTGAATTCATTTTCTAAAACTAATAATCCAACAATTAAATATTTCTTTTCCTATGAAATATAGTCTGTAAATCTAAAGAACATGTACAAACAATCTTTTTGTAAAATTACATGAATAGGCTTTCTGGCATATCAACTTATTCTATGAGATACTAGATAACATCGTTAACATTTTTGAAGTTGGTTCTTACAAGTGGGAAATCCATAGATTAGTGTTGATAGCAACAAAGTACCACAAAAGTGCTAGCTTTTAGTGTGATCTACAGCTGCCACCCTATGTTATACAATCTTGGTGTTAGTAAGATAACTTTTCCTTGTGTTTTGTGCTATCCAGAGTATGCACAGCCACTTGTGGGAGGAATTGTTGGCACACTTCATCAGAGATCTACCTTTAAGCCAGAAGAAGGAAAGGAAGCAGGCTATGCAGACCTGGATCCTTATAACTCACCGGTGCAGGAAGTTTATCATGCCTACGCTGAACCACTCCCAATTACTGGGCCCGAGTATGCTACCCCAATCGTCATGGACATGTCGGGGCACCCCACCGCCCCAGTCGGTCTGCCCTCCACATCCACTTTCAAAGCTACAGGGAACCAACCTCCCGCTCTGATGGGAACTTACAGTACACTTCTCTCCAGGACTGACAGCTGCTCCTCAGCCCCGGCCCAGTATGACACCCCGAAAGGTGGGAAGTCAGGTCCAACTGCCCCAGACGAATCGGTGTACCAGGTGCCACAGAGCACACAGGAAGTGTCAGGAGCAGGAAGGGATGCAGAATGTGATGTTTTTAATTAAGTCCTTTGAAGGTGATGCTGCTTTTTACAAAGCATCGTTTTAAAGCACATGGCCTTTTTTTAATTATTAGTGGTAGTAATATATAGAATGTATTACATATCTGTCACTGAAGTGGTTGGGGAAAATGTGGTGACCAAGGTACGGGAAACTACTAATCTTGCCATCTTGCTTTAAAGGTGTTAGTTCCTGTGGCACAGTTACTGCTTGCCTGTTAAATTTTGAACATCCTGTTTGTTACTACTGTAAAACACTATTTTTAATACAGAAAAAAGGTCCCTATAATGCACTTCAAAGAAATTAAAAATCACTGAAAGTATTTATTACCAATGCTGCAGGTACATTAATGAAGAGATGGCTTTCTGAGCCTGACTGGCAATAACGCATGGTACTGTTTTTGAAATATCTAATGGCTTGAAATTTTACTGTCTTCATGAAAGGTGGGTACTATCATGATTTCTTCCTTTTCTATTCCTATATTCCTTTCTGGGTTTTTTAAAATAAATGTTATAAGCACTAATTATGAAGCAAATTTTGATTACAGCATATACACTTATCCATCTTTCCCTAGGAAGATTTATAGCTGGGAAACTCTGACTTGTGATGAGCAGGGTGATTGATTTTTCACTTTTTGACACTTTCAAGAGCTTTAACACTTCAGGGTACTTGACCTGGTCTCTTCTCTGTCTATTTTGCCCCGGGCCCTGGTTGGCTTATCCTCTTCTTGTGTTTATAAAATGTTTGTTTAGAGTTTTTTCCATAGATGATGATTGCTCTATCAGTGTCACGAATTCAGATCCTCTCATATTTTTACGGATACTCCTCTATGTGGAAACAGGAACAACTTTAGGATTGGATAAGCTTCAAAGGAGATTCCCGCCACCCCAATTTTATTTGTAATGGGAGTTTTCCTAGGAGAATTGTGACAAGCTGAGGGCTTCTAAGTGAATGTTGTAAACATGCCTCACTTATATTTATCCCAGTGAAAGGCAAAATCATTTCTTCAGAAGTAATATAAATTATAAATTACCTTAACCAAAAAAAGTAAGCAGAATTTGTCCTTTTTTTTTTTTTTTGGTTTTATACACACACATAAACACATAAATTTTTCTTGAGTTTCAAGGTATTTTATTACTTTCTAATCAAATAATTTTTAATTTTAGTTTCCCACAGTAAACTATTACACCAGATATAAACCTAACAAGTATTCTTCAGGACTGTGTGATTGTGCCCTTTGTGTGGTAAGAGACAGGAGTAGGGAACAGACATTATAGCATTCTTGCAAATGAATATTCACGCCTTGTTTTCGATACCTCCTGGCAACTTCCTTGTCACTACTTGTTCACGACCTGCCCAGAACTAGTTTAAATTGAGTAAACTTCCTTGTCACTACTTGTTCACGACCTGCCCAGAACTAGTTTAAATTGAGTAAAATAGAAATCATCTGTAATTTTTTATCCTGTAGTGTAAAAACCATTTTTAAACTGGCAAGATCATATGAGAAGCTCACCATATGATAAAAATATATGTACTTTTCCATCAGGTTCTAGTCATTTCTGTTGGCCTTTGCCACCAGACTGTGATGTGGCCAGAATTCATTAAATTTGAGTAAAGATGAACAGTATTCATTTTGCTTGCTTCCACAAATGAATCAGTATTCTAAAACATTGCTTCAAAAAGAGAAGAGTTTATTTCTGCAGCCTTCCTGCCCTCTCCTTGTATGATTTTGCTGGTTTTGTTTGATTCACTTGCATTTCCTTTTCCAGACAGACTTTGAAGTGCAGTTTCATTCATTAAAAAGCCAATATTTTGTTTCAAAATATTTGAAACAAAAAGCACAGATATTAGACTTTTATTAAAACATATATGAATGTGTAAAGCACATGTATTAATGCAGTCATCCCCTTTCAGGTGGGAAGAGAGTAAACCAGTTTTTTTGTTTTTTTTAATTCATCCTTAGTACACAGAGAATATACTTTTCATCAAGTCATATATCTGTTTGAAGCTTTAAGAGAGATGTTTTCAATAACTATTTCTTTTACCCAAAGAATTTTGCTGTTTTTGTGTAATTGTGTGTACCTGATTGTTTTTCCCTGGAGTTGTGTTTTTTGTTTGTTTGTTTTGTTGAGAGGCAAGTGTTTTCTGAAATGATGCTTATTATAAGGCTCAATTCATATTGCCACACTGTGCTCTCCTTGAACTACCAATGAGTTTTATAAAAACTAGTAGTAAACCTTTATTTCTTTCCAGATGAAGAGCTGAGCCTGATTCAAATGGTTTTTCTGGTTTGTACTTTTTTTTAGTTTGTTTTCATATTAGAGGTTTTTTAAATTTATTTTTGTTTTTTACTATGATTATATGTCTGATATATACAGCTTTGGAGACAATCAAGTAACAACTGAAAATGTGAAAGTAACCATTTTGGCAAAATTCCCTTGAATTTTTATTCTTTGCTTGAAACACTCAAAATATAAAGTCACTGGTTTATTGGATTAATTTTTTTTCCCTGTTAATGCAATGATAGAAATATAATCAGATAGTGCCGAAGCAAGTGTGGTCATTACACGTTTTGTACAATTACACTGACTTGGCTGTTACTTGATCTTAGGAACCAGTGTAGTTAAAGATAAGATATTGTGAATTGTGATTTATATTTTATTAGACGCTGTAAATCTAAATAGATCCTGTTGTATGTGCCAGGTCTAGTCCAGTTATTTAAGTTCACGTTTCATTATTGCACTTTGCATTGAACAATGGGTTTGAGTAGAGAATTTATACAAAAGTTAAAATTATGATGTTATGTATACACTTGCCTCTCCCTTCTTCCCCCCTACCTTGAGAGTGGGGAGCAGAGTATGAGCTCATCTACATATGAATGTGGCCACAAAGCTGTGGAAGGTGATAAAGCTTGGATTTCTTTGCCTTGTCACCTGGAGAGCAAAGCACTATAGCAACACCACATCAGATGAGACAATTAGAAGGAACCAGTAGATTATGTGGGGCATTGAAAGCTTCTCATACCCTCTTAAGAGAAATCAATGAAGCTCTACCTTAAAATATAATAATTACTTATTAGCTCTGCCTTTTGGTTCTGAACTTGAAGTCCCTAAACTGCAAAATCTAAATAAGAGTTGGATGGTTATTAAAATACTTTTTAGGTCAACTGTTGCACCAATTCTCATTTATTCTAACTTGTGACTAGTCTTTTTAATTTATTTTGGCACTGGGAAAAGTGGAAATAAAACATGTATTGAATTATATATTGGAAATAAAAATGGCTTGGGCGTCACTGATATTCTCCCAGAATGTACTTTTCTTACCTCGGCATGTACTGTAGTCACTCAGTATTTGTATATGTTGCTAGAATTTAGATTGTATAAATAGTGAAATTTTAATGTGTTCATGTGTTTTTAATAAATTGTATATATGTGTCTTGCTCAAATTATTTGGCTTAAATAAAACAAACTTGAGGTTTGTAACTTTTTCTCATGCTACGCAGAATTCTAGATTCTTCAGTTTTAACATCACTCAGGAATTTTATGGCCAATATTATAGTGTTTCCAGCAACACTTGAAAATGCCGCTATTGCTTTTTTATTCTTTCTGTGGCCAGCACCATCCTTTTGAAGGCCGATTTACTTTACATCAGACTGAACCTCAGCAGCCAAGCTGCAGCCTATGATTGTACGCATGGTGTGAAGGAAAAATCACACTGAACACATGTGGATTCCAGTCTGGTACCTGCCTTTTCCACCTCAAAGTTATTAGAGAATCCAATGAAACTGTGGCACTGTGTAAACAAATGCTGGCGTTAACAGAACACAGTCCATAATGAATGTCTGATCTGGGTTATCAGCTACTAGTATTCTCCCTCTTATACTGCTTTCAGTGTTTTCTTCCTGTTTCTGAGCCTGATCTAATATGTCACTCTTTATACACTCTCTTTAGACAGGCCGGTTGGTTGTCAGCAACACCAGTGTTTCCCAGTGATACTTACTGTTAAAAAAACAGTAAATCTTTCTTTAGCTTAACCTCTTCTGACAACTTTTAACTCCATCCTTCTTATAAATTCTACTTGTCTCTTCCTTCCTTCTTCATCTCTCCTTCCCCCACCTCCAAATTGCCTTTGATTATATGCATTAAAATTTGGGAAGGGAGACTGGCTTAGCACATTTGTGCCACTGGCTTGTGTGCATCAATCAGACACTTCTCTGGTGCACCACAGGTAGACAGGTAAGCTTTGCATTTGAAGATTAGCTTTATTCATGTAAAAATTGAGATTTTTCATGAAAATGCCATTTAAATCCAAAAAACAGCCTGACTCTTCTTAAGGGTTTACTTGCTTTGTTGTCTTTGCCTTTCCTAATTTACTTCAAAGAGAAAGCCTTTAAAATTTAATGAATAAACCAGGCAAAAAAATATTCAAGAATTTTCTCCTTGTTGAGCTTGCCTAGCTCAACTGCTTGGTATAAAGTTAAACTTTTATATTTCTTTAAAATAATGCAAAGCCACTAGACTTTGGTAATTCTTTAGTTATTTATTCATCCAGAATTTTATGTTTGGCCTATTTCCTTTAACTTAACAACAACAAAAACGCCATCTTTATTCTACCAAATTACTCATCATGATCATGGTTTAGCTGATGGCAGGGAGAACAAAGCTTAATTAAACCAGGCCGAACTTAGATTTCCATAGTTAAGTGGTTCTGTTTGCCAGGTCAAGGTGCAATCTCATGCCATTGCCCACCAGCCAGGTTTACAGTAGCCAAATATACTTCTCAAAATGTCATTTTACAGACAAAATCTTGTGGTAAACTAAATCCCCTTATTAGGAAGTCATATCCCTTCAAAAGTCTAAGATGAATTAACTATAAAAAGATGTTTAAAAACACCTTAGAAAACTAGCTTATTTTAAAAACAATGCAATCAAAACTTATTTCCCTAATAACTAAACATTTCTTAGTTTTCATAAGTTAAATATATAGTATTCACAGAAATTAAGCTGGTGGTTATGAATCACCAGGCAGCAACAGACTTCACATACATAATTATTTGACAAGTGCATCCAACATATTTAAAAATAAACTAAAAACTGCAGTATAAAAATAAAACTAATACTGTAAGCATCATTTGAGTCTGTAGGATCAATCTGGAGTCAAGTTGATTACAAAGTTTTTTTCTATAATGTCCTTCAAAAAGAGCTGCTCTGCAGTCACATTGTGGTACGCATTCTAAAGAAGAAAAAAAATTAAATTACCATCTGTCCCACTCTCAAAATATTAATAGCAGCAATAGAATATTCTGTATCTACAAAGTGATAAATAAAAAACAGGAATGTCAAGTAACAAATCACATGTATTTTTAACTTTTGTTACCTTTCTGATTTCTTTTTTCTTGATCATTATTGTGTAAAAACTTTCCCTAAAGCCCACTCTTTCCACTTAAACCCTCACATAGAGGCTCCTTCAGACCATCTCCTGGTATACTGAGTCATAGTATAAATCTAGAGACCAAAATTTTAAGTCAGAATAGGTTGTTCACTTTTATAAAAGCGCCTGGAACTCATTTTTTTAAATCTGCCTGGAAAATAAACTATGATGCATGGTTCAGTTTAAGATGGGTTTTTAAAAAATTATTCTGTTCTACAGATATCCTAATTTTTCTCAGGAAGTTGTTTTAATATTCTTTAGATAACTCTTACAATGCCATAAATGTTACGGGAAAGATTAGGGATGAGGAGAAATGAACTTAATCTAAAGTATGTTCGAGGCACCTAATTCTTCAACTACTGAAATGTTTGTCTTACATTGTGGGGGCAGGGAGTTGGGGGGAACAGTATTTGGGGAAGACTTAAGGGGACTGATTTCATGAGACATAGCCATATACATCAAATAATTCATATTTTAAGATTAAAAGTATACAGATAATATTTTAATCCTATCACTCGTGATGTATCATTACTCTAAGTTAGAAAAGCAGGAAACTCCTTCCCAGTCAATTAAAATAAAAATCCTCAAAATCAAATCTACCACTATTGATCTCAATCTAATACAAAGTTATGTAACTTTTTGACCATGAAGATTCTTTTAGGGGTTAAAGTATTCTAGACCATCTTGTCTACTTACCTAGAAAAGAAATTATTATGACCACAGCAATGCTTTTAGGTGAATTTGTATTATCTCAAACAGTATGCTGTCTATTCTTAAATAGTGCAAATATGATAGAATATCTAAAATAAGACTTGGTCCCACTATGGATCTGATGACATTTGGCAGTAATCATGAGGTTCTCCCAAGGGTGTGAGGCCCACCAATTGGGAATTGCTGCTATCGTAAAATGATCTCAATTTGAGTTCTAGTTTCAGCCCTTAGTAGCTCTGTAACCCCCAGCAAGCCCTCAACCTCTCAAAACCAGTTCTCTCAGTAAAATGAGAGGGTGAGAAGAGAAAATATGAGCTGTCCAATGCTGAAGATCAAAGACTATACCCAAGTATATGTATATTACCTTATTCATCAAAGACATGGTGGCATTCCCATAGTAGTGCAAAGGACTCTTGAGGTCAGAAAAGTTGTATTTAAAACCAGCGAGGTGAACTTCATGACATATGTGAAACGCCAGGGTGATGGCAATAATTCCTGTCGTTGGGTGTTTGGGTTTCTGGGGGGAATGAAATTTTTTTTAAAAAAATCCAAAGTACTTGTTTCCAAAGCATATTTGGTTGGCCTAATTTTATAAAGCAGGGATTTCTGAACATTTAATCAGGAAATAAATATTTAAACTATCATGTTCTAAGGCTAACGCCCTAAACAGTACACGTATATACCCTGACTCCGAAAAGAGTATAAACAGCCAACTCCTTCACTAGTGTACGATATTTTACCCCATTTCTCTTCTCAACAGTTTGGCTTCTACACTTATCTACTTTCTCCCTTCATCAATATTTTCCTTTATTAAGTCACTCTCTTCAGCATACAGATATACCATAAAGAGAAATAAAACAAACTTGCTTGATCCTAAGTCATCTTCCAATTATTGCTCCATTTCTCTGATCCCTGTTCTAGCAAAACCCCATTAAAGATTTGTCTCTGCTTGCTCATGCCCCATGTTCTCTTTAACTCCATTCAAGCAGGCTTTCCTCCTCTTTCTTGTCAGTATCACCAGTGTGACCTCCACATTTCCCAACCAGGGTTTATTACTTGTGCTTAACGTCTGCACAGCATCTGACATGCTGACCTTTCTTGAAATATAGCAGGTCCTCACTTGGCTTCTGGAACACCATGTCCTGAGAGGACTTTAATCTAGTTACAACTATTTCTACTATCTCTAAGGACAATCAGCATTGTCCTTTGCTTTTGGAATTAAAAACATTACCTAAAAAAAAAAAAAAAAAAAAAAGCAAGGGATACATCTGATCATAGTACACAACCCCTATAAGCACATGCACTGCTACATTATTTATAGAGGAGAAAAAGTTGGATACATGTAAATTTAAATATGAGAGTAGTTAAACGGAGGGGGAAAAGAAAATAGAACAATACCTATGGTATAATTGTAATTATGTTGAACAAAGAAAAAGTGTATGTGTATGTGTTCGTGAATGCATAGGAAATAGTCTAGAAGGACATAAAAAGTGGAAAAGATAGGGACATGACATGGGTTATAGAGGGAGGGGAAGGATGATTTCCTTTTTTAAGGTGGAAAACCTTGGGAGATGCCGCAGGTATAGAGGGAAGAGATGTATGATTTCCTTTTTTGTTTGTTTTTAATATTCCTTGATAAGTTATTTTAAGCATGTAATACTAGAACTTCTTAGTCATTTTTATTATGCGAAAGAAAAGGTATATAATGTATATTTATTTCTTTGGATTTTCACTGCTTTACAAAGAGGGAAGAACCTCATTTCAGCTGAGGAGTTAAGTTAAAACAGTTACTCAAGCTTCAAATGAAAAACATCTCTCTGCCACTGTAGGTAGCCTAGAGAGTATTGTCTTCTAGGGAATGTAGGCAAACAGGGCTACTAGAGTCAAAGTCAATGAAATTTCATTTAATTAAATAATCTGGAGTTTCAAGAACAGTTTCAATACTGATGTATCTACCATTTCTTGAGAATATAGTGCTGATGTTTCCTCTGTCCACAGAAATATTTCTGGACTACCTTATTGTCCTTCCTCGCCTTTCCTCTGGCTTTCTTGTGGTATTTTTATCTAAATGCTTTGGACAGTTCCCTTTATCCTGAAAAGCCATGCACTTGTCCACAAGCCTACCCTTCCGCCCACCCAGTGGGACTCTCCTTGCTGCAGAAACATGGAAGATCAAGTTATGAAAGAGGAACCATTTAGATATGCACAAAGAAATCCCAGGAAGGCTCTGTAAAGGCAGGAAAAACCCTTCCACTTAAGATTCTTTTCCTTGCAACCTGAAAAATGTAAAGGTAATACTCACAAATAACTAATTTTACTAACTCAGATGTGGCCCTCAGAAACCACCTCATGAACTGTGGTTCTCACATAGTTTCCAAGAGCTCCCATGACCTTCTATCCTACCTCAGCCAGATCTTTAGTTTGAAACCTTACAAAGATAAAATACATACCTGATTTTTGGGAAACACTTTTGGAAAATGAAGCAGTTCATAAGCTGCCATTCTAACAATGAAAGGATCTAATATTCTGATTTGATAAGGTTTATAGATGAGGGTTAAGGCTGGTTTCTTCCAAAAACCATTAGTGTTCTGAAATAAAGTAAGAGCATAGAACATTATGGTTGTCTTTGTTTTTACGGTAAAAAAAAAAAAAAAATAAGGTAATCTGAAGACAGATCAATTTTGCCAACTTACTATTTTGTCACCCATCAACAATTCCGACAGCCACCTTAAATCGTGTGGCTTAAAAACAGTAAGAATTGCCGTTGTATTAGGATCATTGTGAATGGGATCTGAAAAAACAGATTCTGGATAAAAAAGTCGGAAGGTTGTCCTTCTTCCAACTTCTTCTTCATGTCCTAAAACAGGACCATTATTCATTCTGTGGGTAATAAAACACACAAGGTTTCCATTACAATTCTCAGAGGTTTCAGAGTTGGACAAACATCAGCCATTTATCCTGTGCTCTGAAGGCACAAGACAATTGATCAATCTTTTACATCCAATGGCCAAAGAGATAATTCCCATTCAGGAAATAGCTACTTGATCAAAGGCAGAAGCGTTCATTTGTATTTGAAAATTAATTGTGGAGCCAATGATAATTCAGTTTCACTGCTAGGAAAACTGAAGAAATGTGGACACAGAACCAGAAAATACCATACTTAATAGAGACCTTAGAAGACAACCCCACCAAATCCCTTGAGTTTACAGATAAGGGCTCTGAGATCCAGAGAGCTCGAGTTACTTGCCCAAGGTCACACAGTCATGTAGCACATGGATGTGTGTCTAAGCGACTGACAGGCAAGAAGAATCACATTTAAGTTGGTTTGAAGACCATCAAAATTGTGCTCTGAAATAAAGCAACAATATAAAATTGCTGCATTACACTTAAGCACAACCGAATGAATGTCTACTGCTAGAGCGAACTAAAGAACCACAAAAGATCTGTGGTATTTGTGTGTGCTCAAAGCCAAGGTTAGACATGCACGATTTATGCGCACACTATGAAGGCATGCAATAAAAAAGGAATGCTTTGTTTCCAAAACAGTGTCCCCTAGGAGGATAAATACTGTTTTACCCTTTGCCACTGACTCTCTGTAATATAAGACAGTCTTAATAACTCTTGAAATGACTTTCAAAATGTTGTACCCATGGTGTTTTCCCACAAGGTCTTCCTGTGGTTCTAAATGATCAACTTTAGACAATTATGTATAGAGAAACCTGTGATTGCTTCAAAATTGTTTTGTAGGTAAATTATCATGGCTTTCTTAAAATGGATAAAAAACAAAAACAAAAACAGAAAATAAGGTGAACCTCTCTATGTAGAACCAACCCTAGGCAGCTCGCAACCCAGCAAAATGCCCAACACTGCCAGGTCATCCAGTGTAATGCCCAGTGTGCTGGCTTTCACATTCTTCAAAAGACTATTCATAGCTACTCCTAATATGCATGCACACTCTTACCCGAGATGATGACCTTACTGCAACCTTCCCTGTGAAAACAGAGACAGAAATGTCCTCGTTTTCCCACTCCAACATCTAAGGGACTCCTGGTTGCTGTAACCACAAGCCCAGCCATCCTTTCCATTACAAAAGATTAACCATACTGTACTCTGGACCCCGTGACCCCCTGACCCCTACCCATCTCTTTTACCACACCAATCTCTTTTTCTATTCATTTCCATCAATTTACCAATATGTTCTAGCATCTCCTACCTGTGCAAAAGAAAGCAAAACAAAAAATTCTCTCTTGATTGCATAACCATTTCCACCTACTATCTCATTTCTCAACTCCCTTTCAGAGCAAATCTGTCAAAGCAGTTGTCTGTACTGGTTTCTCCACTTCCTCATCTATCCTCCTCTCTTCAACCCATTCCAGATCGGGCTTCTTGCCACATCATGCCGCTAAACCTGCTTTTATCAAGAGTATCAGTGAGCTTCAGGTTGCCAATGGGCACCTCTCAGTCCTTATCTTGCAGGACCTCTTGCCAGCATTGGGACACAGTTGATCCCTCCCTCTGTCCTGAACCACTCTGTATTCTTGGCTTCTCTGATCATTTTCTCTTGAGTTTCTTTCTACCTCATTGGTGGATCTGCTTCATCTCTTTACACACTCCTTTTTCTTTGCTCAACCTCTAAGTATGAGGGGCTCCAAGGCTCAATCCTCAGTTCTCTTTTCTCTCTTAGGCTCTCCCTGGCAAATCTCACCCAGTCTACAGTTTAAATACAGCTTATGGTCCACTCACCATCAAGATTTTAACCTGTTTGTCCAACTGCCTACTAAACTTATCCACCACAAATCTAATAAGCACCTCAAATCTAACATGTTCATACAGAAATCTTGTTTTTCCTCTAAACCTGCTCCTACCCCAGGCTTCCTCAACTCAATAAATGATACCACTCTCCAGCCAATCTCATGCTGAAAAGAGAGAAGGAGGTATCTTTGGTTCCTTTATTCCCATTCCTCCTCACATCTGACACAATGACAAATCCTCATAGCTCTACATCTAAGACATATCTCCAATCTGTCCACTTATCTCTTTCTCTCCCATGAAATCCTGTTTCATGCCACAATCATCTCCTACCTGATCACAGAAACCTAACTGGCTGCATCCTTTCCACCCTGGTCCCTCACATTCTATCCATACATTGTTCTCTTGCTTAAAAGCCTTCAAAAGCTTCCTATTGTACTTAAAATCTAAGCTTCTAATCCTAGCTTATGAAGTCCTACACAGCCTGCTCTTTGCTCACCTTTTCAGCTTCCAGTTGCACCACTCTCCCCAGCCTGCCACCCTCCAGCCTCTCCATGTTTTTTTGTTTGTTTATTTTTATGCTGCTCAAACTCAGGATCGTATCCTCCTAAGAACCTGCAGTAAATGTTCTCTCTGCTTGGACGGCTCCCCCGATCTTCACATGGCTGCTACTGTATGGTCGCCTAGGTTTAGCTTTGATGTCTCATCAAAGTGGCTGATCGTTTTCTCAGTGGTTAATTCTCTCTCCAAGGAGCCTCTCAATTGGTTTCTATCATATCTCTTTTTGTCTCTATGGAATTTAAAAAATATAATTAGTTTTCCTCTCTTCATTAGAATGTAAGCTTCACAGGGAGCAAGAACATTGTTCTTACCCACTGCTATCTCCCCTGTGGCTATAAGTGTGCCTGGCATATTAAGGAGACTTAATAAATATTTTCTAAATGAGTGAAATCTAGGCCTAACTTTAGCCAACAGCTGAGAGAGAAAGTTGTGTAATCAAGTACACGAACACACTGAAGCAACTCTCATTAAAACAGAGTTGTAGTAAAGTAGGAAACCATATTCTTCTGAAACGATTCTAGATTAGCAAATAGGAAACATATTTACCTTATTATTATATCATAGGAGTCGATTTTTTCTCCTAATGTCTTATTCTTCAAAATTCCTCCATTACCAACCACCACACACTTCTTACATGGCAGGCTGTGGGACAGATAGAAAAGTGAGACATCGAGCCACCTTTTACAAACTGGGTGATTTCAAGAACCCATTCATACTTTCAAGGAGCCCAATGCCAAATTTTACTTGTTGAACAAATAGAAAAAGGACCAGTTGTGCTTTATGGGTCTAGAGATGTATTAAGAGATATAAGATTCAATAAATAACATTCTATAGGAAGAGTGTATCATAACTGTCAGAAACTATTAACTCTTACCGGCCTATACACATTCTCTCATTTGATTCTCATAACCATCCTTTGAAATAAGTCTGATATGCCCATCACACAAATGAGGAAAGGGCTTCAGAAAACTGTTACATAACATTTCAAAGTCATACTCCAAAGAGGTAGAAGTAGCATCTGGATCCAGACCTTCAGACTAGAAAACACCTGTCCACATAGGTTTCTGCATGTGTGTTTTGTATTCCATGTGTATATACCTTTTCCCATCACAACCCATTTGTCTGAAATTCTACCTCTGGCATTCTGCTACCTAAGTGTGGAGATGAACAGTTCAGAATCTGACAGGGGGAGCTTTCTGTACCCTGCTCATACTCATTTCAATTTCCCAAACATGGACTGGTCCTTGGAGCTTAACCAATACAAACTAAAAGTTCACTGTGTGTTCCTGGAAAAGAGCCTTAAGGTAGAACACAGAGGGGAACTTCCTGTAGCCAGCTGGGGTCAGCCTAGAACCCAGGATCGTTCACCCCAGCCCACCTGTCTCCAGCTCTTACCACCACCTGGTCAGGCCTGGAGAAATGACAAAATGGACCAGGTCCTTCCCCTCTAGGGAACAAAACTGCAGAATGGAAGGCTGTTAAGGCTGTCCTTCCAGGGCCCTCATGACATGGAAAGTCTAAAGAAAAAAACCGTTTGTCTAAAGACCGTGAAATCAGCAGACCCACTGAACCCAACACCTTAAGGCTTTCAGGAAATTAATGAGTAGCAAACTGTTCAAATGCTGTAGAATATTTAAACATAGAGAATGCAAGAATACAGGAACTATTTTAAAAATGCCACGCTTTGGCCTTGTTAGGTTAAGAAGAGACAATGTACACATTCCTATACCCATAAGTTTATGTTTTCTGAGTAGAATTTGTTGTGTTCATCTAATTATTTTATAAGTTTTAACATTTTAAAAACACTTTTTAACATATTTTAACTGGGGGCTCTTAGGTCTCAAAATATTAAAGAGTCATGCACCTAAATCAGTGTCTACATCATCAGATAAGAACAATAAGCAGTTTCACAGGCTGGTGGGGTTTGGGGGCGAGGGGGTGGGACTGTCCAACAGTCGTTCCTTGAGGATGTCCCTGAAACCTCACACTGTGGACATGTCACAATGTGTTCTAGAGGTGTCCATTTAAATCTATTTGTTCTAAACTTAAGAAAGTAATATTACTTCTAGATGCTTTTATAAGCAAGTTTGACTTCAATCCCAATTCCAGGAAGCCAATTTTATCAGAGGCTCCTTGCTCTGGGGCCAAGTAGCATGGCTGAAGTGGGAGCCCCTGTGAATATTCAAACCTTTCCTCTCAGGGTATTACTGCCATTAGCCTCACCAGATCCATCCCAGGAATGCTCTACAGCACTCACAGCTTGCTTGGCCTTTCCATAACCTCCAGGTCAGCTTAATTCAGATCAGAGGGTAAAGCTCCTGAAGCTGGCTCCATCTCCCCCTTGGGAATGCTCGGCAAGGCTGGGCGCTGGAGGGCATGGCTAAGAGCAGACAGGGTTGAAATAACAGCTGTTCCCATCAGGTGACCTGCAGGGGAGTGGAGCAGGAATATCTACATATGGTGCCTTGTCTAACCCTCCCCCTCCTATGAAAGCGGGAGGCCACTCCTTTGTCAAGGGGAAGAAAGGGCTGCCTTGCCCCGAACCCAGGTGCTCCAGGGGCTCCAGCATCCATCCTTGCCTAGAGTCCCCAGTCTGCCACCAGGTTGCCTGCCTGACTCCAGCTGCACCAAACATGCAGGGGGCAAGGGCCAGAAGCACAGGCCACCAGCATATGCCCCTTACCCCAGATTCCTACCCTCAACAAAAGACTTCCGATCCACAAGCCAAACTTCTGAAGTTGACCCTAGAAAGAGTAACTCAGCTCAGTCCTAGACACAGCCAGTTCTAGGATGCTGTTCAACAGTAACTGTCAAGTTAGATCTTAGTGTTCACAGAAGTGTGTTTCTATCATACTGGATTAGAGATACTCATCAAGCCCTAGACCATGGGTAGCTCAAAGAGCACCATGGTAAGAGCAGCTACCATCGGTCATACTCCAGAGGCCACATCACCATCCTCACTCAGGCTCCCCCCACCAACCCAACTGACCCTTCCAGCCAAGAGCAAAGGGGGAGTTGCAGGCAGATCTCTTTTGCAGGATCCTTAAGAATTAGCTACCAGGAGAAGGTCATTCCTAGTGCTCAGTCTCTACTATTTATGGTCCCAGCAGGTTCAAGGGCTTGGAAAAAAATATGGAAAGAAATCATATAGACATCGCCTCACTCAAGAGAAGTCCCATTCCAAAAACTCTTTACAGTTCAATGTCACCACATTTTTAGGAATTTCACTTTCCATTTCTTCTCTGTCAGCTTTATAGAGAACAGACAGAACGGGGAAGAGCCTTTACTGTAGGAAGAGCTTGCCAAAGCCTTTGAAAAGAAATCTTGTAAATGAAATTCCGCTTTTCCTCCTGGTAAAGGATATTGCAAAGATGCACACATTTTTCTGAGAGTGACACATAGTGCTAGACATTTTTTTGAGGGTGTCCTAGGACTACTCTGGCAATAACATCTTATCTACAGCTCGTATTCACAGGTCCACCAGGGCTCTGGGAAATGTGGAATGGCACACACAAGCCATCTGAACCATGCTCCTCACAGCTCACTGCTTCTCTCTCCCCAGAGGCAGCCCGTACCATGAAAGGACTGATTCATTCTCTCCTTGGCTTCATCCTCTTGGCCTAAGCTCCCAGCTTCCCCTGCCTCCTTAGATGTGAAATAATGACTTTCAGTGTCCTTTGGGTGACTATATAACTTCACTATATTTAATTAACAGAACGTTCATGCACAAATAGCTGCAGTAAATTGTGAGCCCCTAAAAGAAAGAATAGTATCATTTATATCTCTGCATTTTCCCATCTCAAACACTTCCTTATTCATAGGCTGTGCATTTTAGAAATCAGTTTGGCTGTTACATGAAATGTGTGGGGTCATTTTCCTACTTTCTGTCTGGAGAAGAGGTATCTATTACTCCTCCCCCAACCTTAGAAACAAGTAGGGAAATACACATGCCCTAAACTGCTCATCAGAAAACAAAATTAATTCCAGAAGGCCTGAACCTCTTAATGGAAGATCTGGAAAGCTGCTAAAACAGTAGTGGTAAAAGATTATACTTCCCCCAGGCGATAGGCAGGCTTCTCATAAAGTCGGGCAAAACCGACTAGTTATTACCATATACAGAGGGGAAATGTCAACATAACCAAAATTGAGAAAATAAACTTGAGCTGCCCATTTCAAATGATCTGTGGGTGTGTCTCCTTTTCAGGATGCTTTCTTTTTGAGACAGAGCCTCACTCTGTTGCCTGGGCTAGAGTGCCATGGCATCAACCTAGCTCACAGCAACCTCAAGCTCCTGGGCTCAAGCAATCGGTCTGCCTCAGCCTCCTGAGTAGCTGAGATTACAGGCATGCACCACCATGCCGGGCTAATTTTTTCTATATATTTTAGTTGGCCAATTAATTTTCTTTCTATTTTTAGTAGAGACAGGGTCTTGCTCTTTCTCAGGCTGGTTTCGAACTCCTGACCTTGAGGGATCCACCAGCCTTGGCCTCCCAGAGTGCTAGGATTACAGGCGTGAGCCACTGCGCCCGGCCTTCGGGATGCTTTTTGACCATCCATTTGTTCTCTTCCACAGCATCATATACATGAAAACATCACTCCACCTTCGGTCTAACAATCTATGATTGTATTCCCCACAACCATTATCCCATGTGCCTTGCTAACACAGCCTGCTTTCGTCTATAAATGAGCTCATTTCCTCTGCCAATGTTTGGTCTAGAGATAGCCAAGTGACCCACTTCTGGGCAGTAAGATACTGTGTTTCCCCAAAAATAAGACCTACCCAGAAAATAAGTCCTAGCAGGATTTCTCAGCATTTGTGCAATATAAGCCCTACCCTGAAAATAAGACCTAGTGATGGGTGTGGCTACGCAGCGTATCTACACAACCCATGCATTTCATCACACAGCAGTAAAGACGACGAGCAGCCCTTCTCGTCTGCCCCATCGTGACTGCCACGATCCCACAGGTAATTGGGAAGGTGCGGGCAGCCCCACCAACATGGTCAGCTCTCCCTGTCAGGTCCCGGCCATCCTGCGCATGCTGCAAGCTGATGCTTTGAGGGGAAAGTCTCCTCAGTGAAGTGAGGAGCAGGACGCTCCGCTTCAGGTATTGTGTGTCCCCAGGGGGGAGAAGAAAAGCTGTGGCTGCCATTTTACTATGATGATGTTCCAGAAGAAGACGACTTAACTATATCTGAATAAATGTAGATTGTTGTACCGTACTTAAAAAAAATAACACATCCCCTGAAAATAAGCCCTAGGATGTCTTCTTAAGGAAAATTAATTATAAGACACTGTCTTACTTTCGGGGAAACAAGGTATTGGGCAAGTCTGTTAGATACTTTTGGAAAAGATTTTGCCTCTGGCAAAACAACGGTGTGAGCAGAATACTTTCTTTTTACCTACCTTGTCCTTTCTGCTGAGACATTGACACATGGTGACAAAAAGTTAGAGCAGCTGCAACTCAGAGGAAAAGAGAGCCACAAAAAACTAGTCTGCAGCCCTGACATCACTGAGCCACAACCAGAACCCCTCCAAATAGACGTGCAGGTTGCACACAGTCCAATGTCAAGGGGCATCATTCAGGTAACTATGCGTTCAACTTGGCTCCCCCTGTAGTTGTGCAACCCACAGTCTATGCAG